CTGAGCTCAATGGGGTTGTAGAAGTATGTGGTTGATCTAGGGATGAAACTACATCATCTGATGCTTCTTCAAGCATAGTTGCTGTTCTGGTACGTCCTGTTTTTCTAACATTCTTCACATTCCCAGTATGTTCGAATTGTTTCAAAGTTTTGTATACTGATGCTGTACTTCGTAATATAGGTTCTTAATCTGGGTGACTCGTATTGAAGAGATCTGAAACTTCTTTGTGATTTCTTCTTTTTTCTCCGAATCCAATCATCATCAATATCCCAATTGTTTTCTCATGATTATTCGTGAATATTGTGAATTGAACTATAAACTAGTATATCAGTGAACTAGTTGAAAATTCATCTATCAAATTATAAATAGATATATCGAAATAAGGAAGTTGATAATAATTTCGGAAAAATTGAAATCGTGGCAACATTGGCGACATAAAATATCGGACCGCCACATTTCCAATTAACATCGTATGAAAATTCAGAAAGATCTGACGACTGGTCACTGAGATATATGGACGGTTCCATATATTTGATTCACTCGGTTTATACAGAGTATGCGATAACTTCTATAGTCACTTCATTATCTGCACTTTTTTGTCCCCAGAAAAACATTTCCTTCTGATCAATTGGTGATCACTCAATCAGTTTGAGAATGAATATTCGATGATGATGCAATATACAAGTATCGAATTTATCCTCAATCATGGCTAACACGATATCTGTAGAAGCCAACACAAAAACATTGTTTTTCTGGGGTCAGAGATGTGAAGATGAAGAAGTGAAAATACTTCATACAGTGTGACCCATTTAAAATGGAACCACCCCTGTATCTTACGTAATCGTTGGGTACACAGAGAAAAACGTTTCTTTGCGTGAAACAATCTCATTTGTTTGACTTATATTTGTTTGCAAGAAATAAATGTTATTTGCGAGAAACAATTGTTATTTCTTAAAACCAAATCAAATTCTTTGTTTGAAATCATCGGTTCATTTGAATGACATTTGTTTGGGTGAAACAATAGCATTTGTTGAAAATATATTTATTTCGAAGAAATAAATGTTACTTGGAGCAAATAAATATTATTTTGAACAGAAATATCACATTGTTGGCGAAAAACAATTTTGATATTATTATGAACAATTGATATAGTTGTCATGCACAAACAAAAAATTTGTATTTAAAAAATATAATTTGAACAGAGCGAGTGTGTCATTCATCTCGAATAAATGCGCTTATTGAAATTACATTATGGAATTGTTCTTTTGAATGACAGCACAATTCATAACAAAATATAGTAATTTTTGGTCGAAATCAAATATTGCTTTGATTATATGCGCTTGTTTTTGTTGTGTAGTCGAATGTTCGCATTATTGGAAAAATGAGAATCCAAATCCAGAAAAAGTAAAAACAACTGACTTATTTTCTTCTACCAAAGTAAAATCGACGATGCCCATGACTGAAAAAATCACCAAACCAAAACTTATAGTCTTAATCATTGTTCAGTTCGGTGGCGTAACTTGTTTCTATAATATCCAAAATCAGGGTTGCCAGATCTGACAACAAATTAGGCGCTTTTGTCTTTGGGTCGTCAATGGCTTTTTGACATGATTTCAAGAATTGATGTTTTATGGCTGGATCTCCTGCAAACCCAACATGAAGTTGTACCTTTATTCGAGCTGAATACCTATTCTGGACATGACTGATACGCAATTTGAAGCAAAATTTTGAACCTGAAATGCTCGGTCATCAAGTATTTTTGAAAAACGGGTAAACGTCCAGTCAGCAAACTTTAATTTTCGTCTTCGAATTATATTTCCCTCACCTTTGGACTCGCCTGGCACCTACTTCTCATCAAAACCGTCTGTCAATTCGTATCTTTTTTCTACAATGTCTAATTGACATCATAATATAATTTCATGTTTACAGCGGCAAGTTAATTTTTCAAATCATTTTTACACTTGAAAAATTAAGGAGATGATGACATGCAAGGGTTAGACCTTCATCCTTTGATTCATGACTATGGAAATTTCTTGTTTTATACAGATAATATAAAAGGTTCACGAGCTCTCCGGCTCCATCTGGCAACCCTGTCTGAAACGTATACAACTATCAGACCCGTCATAACGCATTCGTTTTGTTTCTCTGATGATGTGGTTGGCCGGGTCGTATCGTACAGTGGTGATTTAGTATAGTTAATTCCACAGCATGTTTACAGATTTTCACTATTCTCTCAATGTGTAGTGATGGATTTTTCAGAAGAATGGCATTTGGGTCATCTGGTCCCAATTTTCAGAGGTAAGGAATTGTAATTCATACTTGAAAATCGGAATAATGGCGTGAAATTTTTTATGATTTGTTGATTATCTAATGTTTTCATACCGATCTCCATCAAAAAGACAAACCGTGCAATTTTGTAGGTCATAGAAGGATGTACGAATAGGTAGGTAGGTATTTGTGATATCTCGTAGATAAGTATACTTTCTAATCTGCTGTATATTGAAATATTCCAGTGAAATGGCGTTCAAATTCTTCTATGATTTTCAATGGAAGATTCCATGTAGTCAAATAAATCTTTCTTTAATTCAAATGTCACCAGCTTCACTTGAAACAAAATATTTGTTTCCATGAAACAAATGATAATTAGTATGTTAAATGTTTTGATTCTATGATAGCATCTTCGGGAGAATATTAAAACTCAGGAATCACCCTTTGAATTTTTTCGGTGTTATTTAGATATACCCTGTATTAGTATTTTGAGATATCATGTAACTATATAGAGAAAATAATCACTAGAACAAAAATTATCACAGCTCTTTTCTTCATATAAAAAATTGTCATCAATGCACTTCAATGTTTTTATTTTTTTTATTTCCTTGTTATGCATATATTTCATCTATTCCCGCATTAAAAAATACTAAACTTTCAGGAGAGCAATAAGAAATCTGCTACGTCTGTCATTGATGTGAATACTCCAGTGATTTCCGAAAACATTTTTATTGATGCTGATGCACCGGATGATAGAGCCGATGATCCACCTGCCAAATATTTGAGGTTGGATACAAATAACACCGATCAACCTGCTTCAGGATCATCATGTATCTTGACTTCTGTAGTATCGAACCCAAACAGTGTGTCTGTCACATTTTTTCTATTATTCAATAAAGTTTGTTATAGTTCAATTTTGTTGTTAATTCTCAATTCCTTCCAAGAGGAGTATTGTTTTCTAAGAAATGAATTTCTTCTTAGGAAGATTCTATTTCTTTGAGTTTATTAATTTTTGATTCCGTTCAAATCTACAATTTATTACTGGTAAGGGAATCCATTATTTGAGCTTGTTTCTTCCAAACAATTGCCTTGTTTTTCTCAAGCATTTGACATCTTTGAATCAAATTACATTTACATATATTTATTTTTCACAAATAATCATTTGTTTCTTCCAAAGAATGTTCTTGTTTCTCTCAAGCTCTGATTTCTTTGATACAAATTTAATTTACATATATTTATTCTTCACGAATAATTATTTATTTCTTCCAAATAATTTCCTTGTTTCCCCCAAGCTTTCATTTCTTTAATGCAAATTATACTTATTCACTATGAATAATTCTGATCATAAATCCAAAGAAATAGTTTTGATTCAAACAAATATACACTTTCTTCCAAATTATGAATCATATCATTTTCAATAAATTATGTAGATACAAAAAAATCACTTATTTGAAAAATCAAAAGAATGAAAACTTTGATTCAACCAAGCTTGTTTGTTGGACCTATTCAAACTTCGGATTTCTTTGAATTTAACAATATTTGTTAAATTCAAAGAATTATTTTTCTCTGTGTAAGGATCCTGAAATTTGCTGGAGCGAGAGATATACTAAAAATGCACTATATGATCAAGTGGGGTCATCTTCAGTGATATACACTGCTCGCCAACAGCTATGAAACCACCCCAATTTTCGGAAACTGATATTAGAAGTCAGAATACGTTGAAAATCACGTCGTATTCGGAATCAGGACGCCCAAGTTACTAACTATTCAAAGTTTTCCTAGAAGATTTTCAGTTCAGTAAAATTAAAATTTGTCTCACTTCTCATGGAAGCACCCCCGTATCTCACGTAATTATTGAGGTAGGGTTCTGAAATTTTCCGGAGGAAGAGAAAGTCCAAAGATAAAGTCAATTACGTGAGATACGGGGGTGCTTCCATAAAAAATGCGACAAAATTTCATTTTTCCGAACTGAAAATTTTCCAGGAAAAATTTGAATAGCAAGTGAATTGGGCGTCCTGATTCCAAATCTGAAGTGATTTTCGACCTATTTTGAATCCTAATATCATTTTCCGGAAATTGGGGTAGTTTCATGGCTGTTGGCGAGCAGTGTATATCACTGAAGATGACCCCACTTGGTCATAGAGTGCATTTTTGGTATACCTCTCGCTCCAGCAAATTTCAGGATCCTTACCCAACGATTACGTAAGATACAGGAGTGGTTCCATTTTAAATGGGTCACACTGTATATACAGGCCAAACCAGCGTCCCAGGCAAAACGAGATTCAAAGAACACTTAGCACATTCGAAATATGGTAGGTTAGATAGATCGTATGTAGCCAAACACATGTTCCATCACAATCATAACACACATATTAATAACCTCAAATCAGTTGAGCAAGTTGATAGTGTTTGAAAATCAGATGCATATTGAAGCATAGACATATTCAAGAATAGTAATAGAGTAATGAATAAGGATAATGGACCTATTCCATTGAGCCCTCTGTATATGTAATATAACCTGTGAACTCAATCATAACTAACATAAACTTGGCGGTTATTGTCTATTCACGGTTGAATGGACATATAGTTAGTATATAAAAAGCCCACTAGGATAGAGCATTCAGTTTCAATATTCTCCTGAAGATGCTAACATAGTTAGCGAAACACATGTCGAGGTGTAAAAATCAGTTTGGTTATTGGTAAAACAGTATATGTAGTCTACACTGCATTCAATGTAAGAGAGAAGTGAATACTTACTCAATTTAATTACAATAAATCAATTACTTATCAAAATACTGTTCATTCAATTTGACTAGTTCCGATATAAATAATACTTTCATAACAACCCTGTTTTGATACTGAACTCCACAAGATCTCGAATTCTCGTCCTATAAACTCCGTCATCTTTCGGAGAGAAGTTGAAGATTTCCATCAAATCCTTGCCACCCTCAACGACCTCATCCAAATCAGGAGCATCTTCGGAGTCGCATAGCATTATCTTCACAATAGAGAAGGCCGTATAGACACCCAGGCATGCCCTCTTCTTCCAATGTTCCAAAAGGACACTGTAGGGAAACAACGTCTCAGGATCGCAGGAAAACTCCCGTAGGTTCTTGCTGAGGGTTTCGTGGTAGAGTTTCAGATATTTTTCGTAGTCGTAGAGAACCTCTTTGGGACTGTGTACCAGAAAGAAGTAGGACAAGTCCATTGCTGGGGAAGCAAGTTTGGATAACTGCCAGTCGATGATTCTGACGCTCGATGGAACAGAAGAGTTATCTTGATTCTGCAAATGAAGATAAACCAACATGAAATATTCTTGTTCAGTTAGGTACGCTTCACATTGGGCTACTGGACTGGTAGTGAATAACAATTGGATTTCAGTTACTCCACTGTATCGATACGGACCTGAAGTAATATTTGCAGCACTTCATATGCGTTTTAATGTAAATGAGGTTTTTTGCGTTGTTTGAAAGTAAAACATTCAATTTGGCTGAAGATGGTGGAGATGACTTCGAGCTTTTCTCCACGTCCACTGGATGTCCTGAGGACACCACTTTGGACGTCCAGTTGATATCTTTATTCGGATGTACAATGAATGTTAATATTTGGACTCACAATGGATGTCGATATCTGAGCATCCATTGGACATACCAAATTGGACGTTAAACGTCCAATGGACTTCCATTGGATGTCCTGAGGACACCCCTCTGGACGTACTGTGGATGTTTATTTGTGGGAGTATAATGGATGCTCATCTTTGGAGATCAAATAAAAAAACAGTGGGTAGCAAATATAGGTTCTTCTATTTAGATATAAATATTTGGTGACGATTACATAAATATGTATATATCTGTTGCAGAACGAGTCAGTAGATTGATATTAAATACTTAAAAATCGCGCCTAATCAATCAGCACTGAGATGACCATTTCGCGCACCCCCACCTTGGTGTATGAATACCGGTCTAATTAGTGTGTGAGAATGTACTGCGACAATAGCTTTTCACGAACTTGAGAAAAGGCCGCACTATATTGTTTCTTCCACAAACTGAAACCCGCTATCTGTAAATCGTTATGATATTTATGTGATTGTTCGCGAAAGACTGTGAAAATCGCATTAGATATATGCTCTAAGTACACCTGTTCTGTGTACGGAGTTTGAGGAAAATTACGCCATCCCACGACCACGATCTCTGAAAGGGCCCTTTCGTCAACGCCTGCAGCCGAACAAGAACCTTCGAGAGCCATATTTCTTCGGTAAGTCTCTTAGTGCTGAACGAACTCTGTACTTTTGCCTACTTATTATTTCTGATCACTTCTTGAAAATATCGGGTTCTATATGTCCATTTTTTCTCTTATATAATCGAGCTTATCGATCTGCAACATTGGTCCTTCGAGCCGGATATTAGTTCCGTTATTTTCATAATTTGTTTTCTGTTCAAAACTCAAAAAAATTCATTTTTGAAAATTTTCAAATTTGCATGTACCAGGATTTATTCGTATCAAATTGGAAGGGCACTGTCATTTTCATTATCCGCAGTCAAAAGTAGTTCGGGTTTGTTAAAGAATCGTGGAAATCGCTTCAGATTTACCCAAGTTACGTTTTCCCAATTTTTCATTTCCGCGCCGAAATTGATTGATGAATTTGTGTTCGCCATTATTATCGATATCGCGCAGCACATGGTCATAGTTTCCTCTATCACTATCAAAGTTTTGTGGGCGTGCGCTGGACACCGATCAACGAGTGGTTCCGATTGTCATTTTTGTTTATCACCTATTCATCGCCACTATCTGTTCAAGCGAAAACCTGTTCTTATCTTTCCATCGTCCGCGATAGATATCGGTTATTGACCTCTGTTTTGATAAATAAATATTTCACAAACAGCTGACTCTTGAGGGATAGCTTTCGCGTATGCTGAAATCGGTTTCGCGCAAAATAAGTATTTACTATTCTTGCTTTTGAGTTTTGCGCTGATCGATCGATGTTTGCCTTGGTAAATTACCTACTGTTCGAATAGTTGATTGTCATTTTTCCTTTTTGTATTTTGTTCCTGATTCCATATATCATCTTATACCATTGTGAGTTTGCATCCTGCCTGCTCGACCGCCGCGATATCAGCTGTTGCTTGTTATTTTGGTTTATCACAGCGGCGAACGCTCCCCTATAATTTAAATATTTTTTCTTTGAAATTACCGCTTATCTATTGACACCCCGCATTAAAACACTATGGAAAAACTGAAAAAATTCAAACATCTTCGCAATGTCTGTTTGGGAGATATGGAGGCTCTCATAACTTTATCTGAAAAGGCAAAGACCGATAGATCAGTGCGAACATTATTCAAAGTCCGATGTGCAGATATTCAGGAAATTTATGATGATTTTTTGAAACATCACAATAATGTCTGCAGTACTTTGTTGACCGATCCCGAGAACGAACTGGAGGATGAGAACATCATTCGCCAAGCTTTTTTGAAAGATTATTATGATGTAAAAGCCAGTTATACCGAGTTATTCGAGCAAGAGCCCCTTGTTACGCCACATAACAGCACTATTTTGATGCAACCTAATACCATGAATAATAATTATTCGAACATTCGTCTTCCCCAAATTGAATTAAGTAAATTCAATGGAGATTATAAAACTTTTGTCTCGTTTATAGATCAATACAATGCAATGGTGCATGACAATCCGTCCTTGAGCAATGTTGCAAAATTTAATTATTTGCTTTCTACACTACAGGGTCCTCCCGCTTCTCTGGTACGTACTTTACCACTGTCTTCCGACAATTACTTAATCGCTTACGACACGTTAGTGGAACGATATTCCAACAAACGTCTTCGTGCTCAAGCTCACTGGGATGAAATCGAAAATACCTGCAAAATAAATTCCGAAACTCCTGCACATTTGAGGAAACTTATTGATATATTTTCCGAAAATTTATCAGCATTGAAAACTTTAGGTTTTCCCACTGAGGAATGGGATTTCATTTTGACAATGATGGTACTGAAGAGATTAGACACCGCTACTGTAACAAGTTTTGAAATGGAACATCGCTCTACTGACGTGCCGACTTATAAGGATCTCATGAAATTTTTGAATAATCGTTGTATCGTGTTGGATACCCTAACTAACACCACATCATCTTCAAGTAGTCGTCCCTTGAAAAATGTCCCGCAAAAAGCTCACACGTCCTCTCCGCGAACTACTAGCCTATTTGTGAACAAAACTCCCGCTCGCTCGCCTGCTTCTTCTTGTGCTCTTTGCAAGGACACTCATTCCTTGTACACATGTAGTGTATTCGCTCAAAAATCGCCTAGAGATCGGCACAGTTTTTGCAAGTCTCAACATTTATGTTTCAATTGCTTAAGTAGTTCACACGATTTGAGATCTTGCCGTTCAACTTATGCTTGTAAAAAGTGCCATTCCCGCTCACATCATACCCTATTGCACATGGAACGTGCAACAGGGGGGGAAAATTCAGGGTCTTCGACCCAAAGTACGCCAAATCGATTGCCTGCAAATCCAGAAGTGGTACCCCGTCAGTTAAATAATTCTGAGCCTTCTATAGTTCCACTCTCGCCGCCACTGGCGTTATTTCGGGCGATAGCAGTGTATTATTGTCGACCGCTTTGATCGAGGTTTGTGATAAACTAGGAAACTTTTTAAAATTCAGATGTTTGTTGGACTCTGGAAGTATGACTTCTTTTATTTCACAAAAGGCTGTCACTCGATTAGGTCTGCGCAAATCCACATGTTCAATTGAAGTAAAAGGACTTGGATCAATGCAGTCGAACATTAATAACGGTTTGGTATCGCTATCTTTGAAGCCACTTGGAAAAGACAATCCTATGTTATACACCGACGCTATAATTTTGAACAAAATTTGTGACAAGTTACCCGCAATTAGTTTACCGGTGGATAATTGGGCACATATTCGAAATTTACAACTTGCAGACCCCAACTTTCATTTGCCAGGCAACATTGATCTTCTGTTGGGAGCTGATATATTTTCTAAAATTATTTTGAGTGGATCTATATCAGGACGGTCAGACGACCCTATCGCTATTAACACCATTTTAGGATTTATTTTAATGGGTACAGTTAAACTATCCACTTTGCCCTCAGTATCCTCCTTCTTCTGTAATGCTACAGAAGATACTCTCGAAAATATTATCAAGAAGTTTTGGGAAATTGAAAGTGTTCCTAATGTTATCAATGCTGCTCCCGAAGATATACTTTGCGAAAAATCATTCAAGGATACTTGTTTCCGGGACGAAACCGGCCGCTATACTGTGTCACTTCCTTTTCGGGAAAATAATCCGAGTTTTCCTGGTATGCGTGATTACGCCCTTTCCCGCTTCTACTCTTTAGAACGTCGACTCTTAAAAACTCCCGAAATATATTCTCAGTATTGCGATTTCATGAGAGAGTATATCCAGTTGAATCACATGGAAGTTATAAAAGAAAGTAATATTCCTAGTCACTCCTATTATTTGGTACACCACTGTGTCCTTAAGCCAGAAAGCCAATCTACAAAACTCCGGGTTGTTTTCAACGCCTCCGCTAAATTGCCCAACAAAAAATCTTTGAATGAATGTTTAATGGTAGGACCAAAACTTCAGCAAGACATATCACACATTTTATTGAATTTTTGTTTGTATCCCTATGTTTTGTGTGCGGATATAAAACAGATGTACCGAATGATTTGGATGAATCCATTACATACTGACTACCAACGTATTCTTTGGAGATTTTCACCTAACGATAACATCCAAGATTTCCGCTTACGTACTCTTACCTACGGTTTGAGTCCCGCTCCCTTTCAGGCCCTCAGATGCCTCCGCCAATTATGTGACGATGAAGGTCATGAGTTCCCGCTCACTGTTGAAGCAATTCGAAACTCTTCGTACATTGATGATGTTGTCGTCAGTGTTCCCACTTTAGATGAAGCTATCGCGCTACGCCGCCAGTTAGTTTCCATCATGCAAAAGGGTGGGTTCGAACTGAGGAAGTGGTGTAGCAACGAACCTTCCTTATTAAGTGATTTGCCAGAATCACATTTATCAACAAGTCCTCTTACATTTGATTCAGATTGCACGCAATCTTCACTGAAAGTTCTTGGACTGCAGTGGAATCCCGTTTTGGATTATTTTTTCTTTACAGTCAAATTACGTAACACTCGAACTTGCACGAAAAGAGTGATGTTATCTGAGTTGGGACGGGCCTATGATCCCCTCGGGCACCTCTCACCGATTACCTTTTACACAAAACACTTAATCCAGCGT